GCCCCGCTGCCTCTCTGGATTTTGAGCTGGCTGCCAGGCAGGGATCATGGACAGGTCTTCTCGCCCCGCTTGCTTTGCAGGGGTGGAAGCGAGCGGGGAGCAAGCCGCTCGGCCTGGCCAGTCTCCCAGCCGCCTGAGGAGCCGGAGAGAAGCCAGCTCCCTCGCATGGAGCTGGAGGTGCCCGTCCCCCAGGCTGCGCTGGCAGGACCCACTGCGTCAAGCTTGGCCAGCTCTGGCCCCATGGTCCCTCCGTCCTGACTCCAACGTCAGCAGAGGGCTGGAGCAGCAATAGCTGGCAGGCATCGGTCCCGCAGCTCCCCAGGTAGTGCATCCTTCTACCACCCCCCTCCTTCGTGCCTGCAAAGTTGCCTGGCCCCACGGTGAGATCAGTGCGGGGCTGGCACGCCCCAGTGCCCACCAGCTCCAGCACGCACCAGGACTGAGCTCAGCATCTGGATGCCACGATCCAGATGCGCTGGGGCTGGGGGGTCGGGCCATGTGAGCAAGAAGAATGGCTTTGACAGCAAAGTGGGTGACCCCAATACGACCGCCGAGCACCCCGGTTTGCCGGTGGGGAGGAGGGTGCCTCCATGGCTGACGTGTGAATGCCAGCTCTGTGACTCTGCTCTGACCCCCCATTTGCTGAGTGGCAAGTGCCTCATTACAGTGCATAGTTAAAAATCAAGGAAGCGGTACAATAAATCTGAATTACAGTACATCTGAGCCATAAATACATTTTTTTAAGTATATACTTTTTTTTTTCTCTTCTTCTATTAAAAATTAGTTTATAATCCTGATTCTATTCACAATTAACAATTTCATCATCACACACTACGGACAAAAAAATGTTATGGTGAACACAGCTGCAACTCCGCGGCGGGAGCACGGGGGAGGGGGACGCCGGAAGGGAGAAGGGGGGCCGGGGGGCTCCTAGGCTCACCCTAAAACAACCAGTCAGAAGCAGGGGGACTAACGTGTGGCAGTGAGACATCAACACCATGGGGACTCACAGACAGAAGCAGCTTTGTTCAATGTAAACATCGATCGAAGGGACAGCAGTCTCTCTCTCGTGCGTGCGTGCTCTCGCTCTCTCTCGCTCTCTCTCGCTTTCCATAGACTGAATAATTTCTTTGAAAACGTAAACATATTGGAAGTGCCTTGACTGAGGTATTGAGGTATTCCTCCAAGGTTAAGGCTGTTACCGATGCAGGCTTAGCTGGGCCTCCTGCAGCAAGCTGTCAAAATCCATGGTCTCGTACTTGCTTTTCACTGGAGCTGGGGATGACTCCTCCGCGCTGCAATCTGGGAATGGCAGGGACACAAGGCAGCCGGGTCAGGCAGCGGGGCACGAGCATGCTTGCTGCCTGGGAGGGAGGGAAACTGAGGCACGGCAGGGCACTGCTCACTCCCCTGTCACCGACATGCTACATCCTGGCGCTGCAAAGCCAGCCTGGATGAGGCAGTGATGGCGAAGGGGAGCGGGGACAGTGCTGTCTCTGCCCCATTGCAAGGAGCTGTCGGGCAGAGGGGGTGTCAGACACCCCTTCCTGGGTGTGCAGAAATCTGCCGGGTGCAGCTGAATGGCAAGGCGCTGACCCAGGGCCATCCCTGCGGGAGCTGTGCCGGGCAAGGAGAGGGGGGTGCCTACCCGCAGCACACCCCAGCCCTTCTCCGTCAGAAGTGGAACAAGCAGTGCCATTGCAAAGCCTGGGATTTTCAGCAAATGTCAGAAATAAGGCTGCCTTATTTAACAGCCACTTAACCCTTTTGGGCGTGCATTTCTGAATGAGCCATGAATGGCACGGCTGCATTTCTCCTCTTCTGTGGGCTCCCCCTCTCACCCTGTACCAGGGCCAGCAGGATTTTAGGATGGAGCCAGGCAGTGCCATAAGGGGGTGACCGCTGGCCCTGCAGCTATCTGCAGGTGAGGAGCACGGAGAGGGGTTCTCCTAAGCAGGGGGGCAGCTCTGTCCCCACTCCCCACAGCCCTGCACAGCCATGTGCCAACGTCTTCACAGGGTGCTGTTTCCTACCTAGTCCATGCCCAAAATGGGAGGCTCTGGGATTTATTTAGATGAACAACGAGCATTTGAGCCCACAATCAAAGTCAGAGGGATCGCTGCTCTGAGGATATGGGATACTGGAAGGTGCTAAAAGATCAAGTGGTACTTGGGTCAGACTGGGTGTCTACAGATAAGTCAAGACTGAGGTCTTACCCCCATGGAGGGATGGGGTCCAGCGAGACCCTGGCTAATGTGGTTGCCGAGTGAGGCAGGAGGTCTTGCAGAAGCCCGTAGAGCACAGAAAGGGTTAATGTGACCGCAGCACATTTCAGTGCCCTCACTTTGGCTCAAAAGTGCATGTGCACTGCAGTGAGTCTGTCCTGTGGAGCAGCAACCCCCCCAGATCACCTCCTGGGCTAAGGAGATGCTGCTGACTGCTTTCTCTAATGATTCGAAGGGACTTCTCTGCAGAAATGCCACAGACAGGATGGGCTGTGGTCAGCTGAGACCCAGCAGCCCTGGGCTGTGATGCTATGGTTTGCAGCCAACACACTCCGGGTCTTCATGCCACTTGCCTTTCTTCTCTCCCCATTTCCCGAGCCATCAGACTGAGCTAAGAGCAGGTACAGGAGCCACAGGAGAGCCAGTGGGCTTTTCCTGCAGGCTCTGAGGAGGTTTAGGATCCTTGCATGACTATGGTTCAGTAGTGCACTGTGCCATTAGAGCTCTGTGCTGATAAAGGAGGCTCTCTGGAAAAAGCAGCTCCAGCTTTCTTACCCAAGTCAGTGTATCTGGTCCAGAAGAAGTGCCCGAGGCCACCAGAGCTCAGCTGGAATGAAGGCTCATTCCTCTTCCTTAGCAAGGTGCCGTTCTTCAGAGATAAGGCGGCATGCTCTGAATACCGGTAGGTGATGAAGCCATATTTATCCCCCCTGAGCGACCAGAGAAAGAATCCAAGATACGATGAGGGCCACAGTCCCTCTGACATGGTTCTGCCCAGCACTGCGCCCCCAGCGCTCCATCTTTCCGGCCCTCCATCCCACCGGCCCTCCCCATGCCCTTGGACTTCACCGCACCGGCACCACTCGCCCAGGCGCGGCTGGCCGCAGGGCTGACCTGAACGCCTGGCAGTGCTGAGGCTGCCCGGGCGCGGGGTTCTCCACAGCTGCTGGAGCTTCAGGCTGCAGCTCGCTCCCCACCCACCTGTTAGTCCTGGACAGGACCTGACACTCCACGATTTCACCAAACACTTCGAAGCGTTTCTTCAGTTCGCTGGAGCTCATGCTGCTGGAGAGGTTCCTGATGTACACCACCCGGCCTTCCCCCTGGCAAAGCGAGAGAGAGGTTTCAGGCTCGGGACCCTGCATCTCCATGCTGCCCGTGGGCTCTGGACATGTGGGGCCATCGAGTACCCCTGCAAGGCACCAGCGGGACAGGCTGCAGCGGGGCAATGCCACCACGGGCACAGCCTGACACCTCCAGGGTCTGGCTGTCCCCAGCCAGCTCACGGGTGTCACCCCCAGGACAGGGGACAGCCACAACCAGGCTGAAGCAGCCACTGCCCCCTTCTTCTCTTTTAAATTTCTCCTGCATTCCAGCAGCATTTTCAGCTTCTCCTGGTGAAGATGCCAACAAATATTCCCAAGAATCTCTAGGAGAAAAATTCAATGGTGTTGCAGGAAAAGAATGCCAGATGGGCATGTGTGGGGGTGTGTGTGTGTGCACAACAGTGCGGAGGACCGAGTAATTTCCCCACAAGCCCACCCCAACCCAACTCCCACCCACGGGCACACGCTGGGGTTCCCGGTTGCATGAGTTTGCCTCTGCGGTGGGACTGCATCTGTTACAGCCATACAGCCAAGCAGCTTCAGGTTCACCCTGGCTCACCCCGCTAATTGCCAATGCCAGCGGCGCTGAAGCACCGGCATAGGATGCTCTGGGTATTTCTGTGCCAAGGACTCTCTGTGTTGCCAATGGCCAGTGGCTTCCGCTTCACATTAGGTTTTTTTCGCATTCCTCCACCCCCACGTCCTTGTTTAACACTGGCCTCGCACCAAGGGATGCTGAAGCCAGGGCTAATGGGCTCCACCACTGCTTTTCTGGAGCAGGAGGTGAACTGGGGATTGCTTTGGCCCCACAGGGGGTCCCTGCTCACTTACAATGGCCTTCTCTCGTCTCTTCTCCATCTGGCCCCGGTGCCCGCTCCTGCCCTGACACTGCTCGCCGTTCTCACACCTGGGAAGCGAGGGAGAGGAGGTCAGCCGGGGGCGATCCGGCAGGGAAAGCTTCAGAGAGAAGCTGAGGCATATGGTGTTGGCAGTGGTGTGTGGGCGCTCAGAAGGATTGGCAGCCAAGGAGAGGTGGAGATCTGGAAACACTGGAAAGGACACTGGAAAGTACTTTCTGATAGATGGGGGGGCGGTGCCCAGCCAGCGCTCACCACTTCCCAGGCACGGCTCCGGCCCCTGCCCATGCCCTGTTTCTCCCAGCACAATGGAAACCCCTGGCTGCTTCCCCCTGGTGCCGCTTTCTCTGGCTGGGGCTGATGTTTGCAGCAGCTGCTGCTGTAGTACAAATTATTTCAATAGGTTTTCTTTCATTAATTAGCATGTTTGTGACTTGGGCTAGCAGAGCAGACAGGAGGGGCTGCCATGCACTGGGGCAAAAACACAGGGTGCAAGAAAGGACCCAAGTGTCCTCCCTGCAACCCCCCAGTACCTGAAGGTGCGTCTGCTTGCAGGCGATCGGGACCGGCAGCACGAAGACCCTGAGCTGGACCTGCTCCGGGAACAATAATGCAAACTGGTCCTGGAAAGGGGGTTTCTTCGCAGGCACAGCTTGGTGTCGCTATGCTCCTCCTCCTCCTCCTCCTCTTCCTCCTCTTCCTCCTCCCGAGGGGAGCCACTCTCGCTGCAGCTGTCTTCAAAGACGGTGTCGTACTCGGGGGTCTTGCAGAAGACCATGTCCTCATCATCGAGAGCACTGTCCAGAAAGCCAAAGTGCTTCGTTAAGCTGGCTCTGATCTCCTGGTCTCTCAGTTGCTTGACTCCGTCCTTCCAGAGCATCTCGCCCGCCTCCTTGCTGATGAGGTCCAGGTCCTGGTAGTGAGCGGCCGGGACCCTCCGCTTGTGCTCCGACTCCACCTGGCCCGGGGGGTCCCAAGACTTGAGCACCTTCCTCTGCAGGGCAGCCTCGGGCTTCAGCACCTGGCAGTAGTCGTGGTCCCCGAAGGAGTGGGAGAAGGGCCGCTTGAGCACGCCTTGCTGCTCGGGGGGCGCGGGGCGCCCGGCAGCTCGGCTCAGGTGGGCGAAGAGCTCTGTCCTCTCGGGGTGCTTCCTGTGGGCTTTCTGGGAGGCTGCCATGTCCCTTGTACCCCCAGGGCTGGGGGCTGTCCCGTCCTCCTTCCCTGGCTCCTGAGGGATGTCCGGCTTGTACAGATCCTCCTCAGCGGGCTTATATGGCGGAGTGGTGGGTGGCGTGAGACCTGCACCCCCCAAACAAAGGGCAGCACTCAGCTCTGCCCCCACCGTCCTGCCCCGTCCCACCCCAGCGCCTGGGCGTTACCAGGCATTGCAAGGGAGGAGGCTGCTCGGCTCCCACAGCATCATCCCTTCAGCGGCACTCGGGAAAAAGAAGGATGCCTGATCCCAGTGAGGAACCAGAGGACTCTCCCTTTCCTCCCAGCTCATGCAGGAGCCCCTGAGCAGCCCCCCCAAACCCAAATGCATCTGAGCTGCTCACAGTGATCAGATGTGGAGGTAGCACACAGGGAGTCTCCTGCATTTGCAGAGCAAAGGGAGTCTCCCAGGCCAGAGGATGAGCATGCGCCCTCAGCTGGGCTTGGCTGGAGCTGAACTGGAGCTGGTGACTCCAGGCTGAATTTAGGGTAAGTCTGCCCCCACCCAGGGAGGATTTTTGCAAAATTTAAAATTAAGAGCCTGTCCTACCTGCTGTCCCACACAGCTCCACAGTCAGCAGCGGCTCAAAGTTTCTCTTCCCAAAGGTTGGGTCGCTGGAGAAGAGCAGAAAATGAGAGAGGAAGTGTTTAGCTGAACCACAGTCCCAAAAACCAAAAGGAAGCTGAGCAAACGCTGCCTAAAAGCGAGCCCTCCCACCACGGCGAGTGCCTGTCGGAGTAACCCCACAGAGGGGTGCGAGGGGCAGTGGGGCGAGCAGTGTGCCCTCCCCTACCCAGTCAGAGCTCCAGGGCACGCGGCCCCTGGCACGCAGAAATGCCCTGCCCTCTCTGAGCCCCCTGCACTCGCGCTACGGCCTCGGCTCCCCACAGCCCCATGCCCAGCTGCACGGCTCGCTCTGCCCTGCAAAAGCAGCTCCGCTTGCTCCTGCAGACGCGTGCCCAGCCAGACAACCAGGGCATCTTCCCAGCCCCGGCGTGGTTCTCTTAGCCCCGTGCGCACTTACGTTTGTGCCAAGGACAGCGTGAGACGCTGGGGTGTTTCTGAAAGGCAGGGAGAGAAGCAGGGTTACCAGCCGAGCGGCGCTCGCTCCAGTGCCCGCGGTGCTGGCGGCAGGGGCTGGGGTCTTTGCCCACCCTGGCCTGCCACGGGGCTGGGGACTTTGCCCAGGAGGGTGAACACTGCTGGGGCTGAGCCGTTCGTGCTCACAAAGCACTTGTGGATAGCTGTGATTTTGGAGCACTGGCGCACCTTAACCTCAGTGCCCAGGCACAGGGCGAGCCTGCAGGGACAAGGGACCCCGAGGGATGGGGCAGCCTGGTCCCTGCTGGGTTAGCGCTACACCGACTCCTTCAGCTTGTTATAAGGATGGGGAAACTGAGGCATAAGGCCTCCATGGATTGAAACAGCATTCCAAAACTAGAACAGGCCCCCAGCTCCCCATGCGTGGGACCCCACAGCCAGCTGGCACATGGGTCAGGGGTCGGCTGTGCTTGGGGCTGCTTACAGCCTCACTGCCATCCGAGTGGCCAGCACCTGGCCAGCAGCACTCACCCGCGGTAGGGACGGCACAGGCAGCGCCACGGGCAGTGCAGGCACACCGAGGAGGGGTAAGCAGAGCGACAGTCCCCAGCCCCCCTCACCTGCTTGCTCCAGGAGGGCATAGCGTCGGCTCTCAGCTCCGTCGCCCACCTCGCCATCCCCCAGGGAGCCCAGGGAGAGGGGCTGGGGCTCTGCTGGTGGTGCCATGCTTCCACCATCTCCCTCCTCAGTGCCCCCCACCTCCACTTCAGCCGCAGGTTCTTCGGCGGAGAAGCCCTCCAGCACTTGGCACGGTGCGGAGTCCCTGCACGCCAGGGCATCCCGAGGGCTGTGGCCGTTCCCTGCCTCCCTGGAGATAGAGGGCTCGGAGGGTGGCTCATCGAGGAAGGAGAGCCAGTGGCCGAGCTCAGGGTTGAGTCTTTTGGACCGGCGGACGGCGTAAACGGTGCTTTCTTGCTTGCGGGTCCCCTTCCCTGCAGCTGCGCCCAGGCCTCCCGCACGCTTCCCAGCATCATCCTCGAGGCCACCCAGCTCCCCTGGTGCCTCTGCCTCTGCTGCAGGGCTCTGCCGTGGCTCACCCTTCTCTGGTGGAGCCAGTGGCCGAGCTCAGGGTTGAGTCTTTTGGACCGGCGGACGGCGTAAACGGTGCTTTCTTGCTTGCGGGTCCCCTTCCCTGCAGCTGCGCCCAGGCCTCCCGCACGCTTCCCAGCATCATCCTCGAGGCCACCCAGCTCCCCTGGTGCCTCTGCCTCTGCTGCAGGGCTCTGCCGTGGCTCACCCTTCTCTGGTGCTGTTTTGGCTCTGGATGTGCAGGTCCCACCGGCATCCTCCCCATCCTGAGCCGGTGGCACAGGGGAGCGGGAGCCAGGTGGCCGGGCCAGGGCGGCGTACACTGGCTTGCCCAGGCGG